ACATTGCTAAGCACTCTCAATTTCTATACTACAGTAGTTATCCATGGGCACTGGACTTAGATGATCTCTGATGATTCTTTTTGCTCTACTTCAGGAACCAATGATTGACAAAACAGAAAGATTCATTTAAATATTTTTTCCTTAGCCTGTTTTGAGTTTTGTTACATACATATTTTAAAAGGGCTATTGACTTACACAGATGATAAAATTCATGAGAATCGAGCAAATTGAATTAATGATCAAAAAAGAATTTATAAATTCTCTAGAAATTTCATTTGTCTTTTTGTTTTAGAATTCATTTTCATGTACAGCACCAACAATGAAGGAATAATCTGTTATATTTGAGTGTGGGAATGTCCTTAAATTCAACTATTTACATCCTTCTCCTTTGTCCTTTTACTACTCAATGAAAAGTAACTGAGATACAATGGAAAAGAGGGAGTAGAATTTATTTTTGCAAACTTGCCAAAATACTTGTCACCATAAAGAGTTCAGTGAGACAATCAGTGTGAGTGATGGCCAAATTAACTGTCCAGATTCATGACATAGCACCAAGAGCTCAGATTTAACATGCACACCTGCTAGAAAACATACCTACAGCATGGTGTTTTATGTACTGCTACATCAATGTGGCAAATATGATTTCTGTAAGTTGAAACTAAATAGTGGGAGAAAGTGTTACGTGTAGGAAAATATGTAGGGGTTTTTTGTCAACTATGAAATGCTGTGTCTCACCTGCTTCCAGCCAGAAAGCAAAACTAGTTGGAAATGTGGGAGGATGGATCTTTTTGTCTGATTGTGCTCTGATAATCTTTCTTTTCCCTGAAATTGTCCAGTTTTAGGTGAAGATTTGTTCATTCACCGAATGTCATCTCCTTTGCGAGGTCTGACTCCTCAGCCCCAGCAAAACTTATCTCATATCAGTTTCCCCATGGTTGGCACAGCTTTGCCAGTCTGCGAGTCTCTATTATGCCCACACCTTTTGCCCATGCTCCACATAATACAATATCTATGGCAAAAGAAGGGCTGATGCTGCTTATACCTCATTCTAGAGAATATACATGGCTCAGATAGAGATTGTTCCTTTCATTTTGTATTTCTTCTTTAAATGTTAGCAAATAATTGCTTCTTAGCCTTTGGCTAAGACCAAGTGTATGTGTTAGCAAATAGAACATTTCATTCATTCACTCATCTGTGCTCTTTTTTCCTTCTGCCCAGATATCAAATAGTCACTATTACTGGCTTTTGAGAATGACCCATCACCTCCCTTCTGCCCACTTAAATAGCTGGGGTGCCTTTTAAAAAGTGTGACCTACAGATTATCCATAGCAAAATCACATGCAGATTTTCTTACATGTAGGTTTCTAGGTTCCACATCCCACTTTATAGGATATTAGATCATCATAATTTTGCAGTGTTTTACATCCATTCTACCTAGATGAACAGGTAGAATGCACATATAGTCTGTGCAGTGAAATTGTAGTACAAAAAATGATCACCTTTTTGAAAAACTGTTGGTTCTCCAATACTGCTATTTGACTATTGCTCTTTCTTTGGGATATTGCTAACAATGGTCTGCCATTGGCTAGAAGAGTATTTTCTATTCAGAGAATGGCTACCTATGTCTCCCGTCGCGCTGCACAGGGAACAGCACAACAGCAGAGCTCTTCCTGTGAAGTAGGGCCTGCCAGAAAAAGAGCTAGGATGATGGGTGATGTGTGGGCACTACTGGCTAAAGCCCAGGCCCCATAGATCAGTTTTGGATCATCTATAAGAAATGTCAGTTGTTTCTGCATGTATTTAACTCTCTTCAGTGTATCTGAAGAGATAGGAAACGCAAAAAGGAATGTATTATAATAAATGCTCTCATCTTTTAGAAAAAATCTCTATGGATGGGACAATTTGATAACTTTCTTTTAGATGTACCAGCCTCAGGCTTCTCAAGAAGGGCAATGTTTCCACTATTTTTACTTCTACTTGACTTAGGTAATCCATGCTTCCCACCCTTAGTCAGTGAAGTTAAAATGAAAAGAAAAAATGAATTCTTAGAAACTTTGTCATGAAAAGGTTCTCATTTATGCCCAGAAGGGAAAGGGAAAAAGATTTCTAAGCTTAGCACTTTTTTCTTTCTTCTTTCTTTCCTCTTCATTTCTTTCTACTGCTCTATCTCTTTGTCCTTGCAGTGAGACAAATGAATATAAAGGACAAATCTGTACCAAAAAACTTCAGAAGATTTAAACATAATAAATGGTAAATCTTTGGGATAAGGAAAAGTGTCTCTTTATGTAATGCTCTAAAGAATGGAATGTATTATAGGAAATGCAAAAAGTGGTTGGAATAAGAAAAGTCACACTAAAGTCATTGAATCTACAAAGCTTGAATCAGGTTCAAAATTCAGATATTAAAAAATATCTTCAATGAAAGATTTATAGATTTGTCCATTAGTGAAATGTGAAAATTCACGATTTGTTTCAGAAAGGTTTCTAGAGATATTTGTGAGTAATTATGTACTGTATATTCTTGGATTTTAAAAAGAATAGAATATGGGACCAATTTCTAACAACAATTCCTGGAACATGGAATCACTCAGAAAATGTGAAAAAAGTTTATTGCGAAAATATTTAAAATAATTTTAAGTAGAAGCTTATAAACAATGATTGAACTAAAAGAGCTGCAGATATACCAAAATATCTGAAATGTTTTTCTGAAATACATTTTATGATCAAGAAAATTATGCTTACAAACACCAATTGAAAAATCTTTGCAGTTAAGGAAATGTGAAATGTAATTTAAATATCCAAATAGAATGAAGCAGCAGTGCACTTTTACTCATTTCTGAGTCAAATGTGGGTAAGAATATAGGTGTGAGAAGGGCAGCTGATGGTTACTAGTTGTTCAGAAGAATCAAGATCCATTTAGTTAAACTTTTCTCTCAGCATTTAACCTGTGCTATGCATCCTCTGAGGGTTTATGTAACAGGAAAGGGCAGGACCGCCTTGTCACACTGAGGCTGGATTATAGTAAGGGCTGCACAAGAAGCATATGAGTGCAAGAACGTATTTCAAATATGGAGAAAGGCAAAGAAGAGAATAAGTAACGACAGAAATGGAACAAAGAATCAACTAGAAATGACTAGAAATGCGTGACGTCATTAATGGAATATTCAGAGATCTGAATGAAGAATTGGCATAAACTATGCAGTACTACTTTAGAGAAGGATAGAAAGGGGGATGGCAAGACCAAAACCAGGGTTGAAAACAGTGTTTTTCATGGGCAGAGAAGCTGAGACAGCTGGAACAGAGAAGGGAATGAAGAGATGGGAGACGAAGCCAGAAGGTTTGGGTTGGGTGGCAGAGGTGTCAACTGCTTATCCTGTTCATTATCCTTTCTCTTTAAAGAAGTGTGAATTGTGTGTGGACATAATGCACTGGGCTAAAACAAACACTTGTTCTGGCTGTACAGGAGCCTGGTGACACTGTTCTGGTCAATGCAATGAAGCCTGCTGGGAGCACAGTCTAGAAATACAATTATTTTCCTGATTAAAAAGCACATTCAACTGGCATTCGGTACTTTTATTCTTTGCTTTTGCTGTTTCTTGGATGGAATACTGACATGGTATCTGGAGATAAAGCAGCCATTTTGTAATGACAAGGACAAAAGCCACATAATCAGGCCAGGAAAGAAAATTGGGATTCAGAATGACTGTTGTGAAGCCATGAGTCTTACACTGCCAACCTCTAGATTTCTTGTTATAGGAGAAAAAATAAACTCTTATTTAATGGTAGCAAGTTTAAATATTTTCTTGTTTGGGTTTATGAATCAGGAAGCTGATAGTGTTTGTGGTCAGGGGCTAGATCATATAGGGTGTGTTTTCTATGGTAAAAATTTCTGTGTTTTATTCTAATTGTAACAGAAAGCTGGCAAGAGTTTCAAGCAGAAGACTGATGTAATCTAGTTAATTCTTGTAGCGTAATCTGGCTTCTGTGTGTAAATTAGCTTATAGGAAGATAACATGCAAGAGATGATTTCCTTCCATTTGTTATACTACAAATGTTTTAGTATAGGCAGCTTTCAAAAATTAGATACTCTTATAATACTATTTGGTAGCCTGTTGGACAAGTGTTATGTGTCTCACAATATAGGGAGGTCACTCTTTGAAGCAAATACTCCAGGTCCTTGTCAGCAGTATAGGGCACCTCTTTGTAGCTTGCAGATGTTTAAATTGAGAGAAGAGTTAACAAGTGGTTATATACACTCTCCCTACCTGATCTAGCTTAATTTCATCACTGTAAATCTTCTTCTACCTTGGTTTATTATGTTTTTTTTTCTTTTTTGAGGGGGGAATATCTGGTTTCTTTTTCTAGAGCCACTGAAACTTTAGCTAGAGCTGTCATCCAGAAGACACCTGCTTTACAAATCATCCCCATGAAAACCAGAGGATTTAGAAAATGTACTGAATTGGGTTTGTTAATGGTCTTTGAATTGCTATTGGCTTAGGAAGTAAAACAAGGATCAGGGTAAAATGGTAGTATATAGGTATCCCACAAATTATGAATTAATTATTTTATGTTTATCTAGGCTGCAGAGAAAAGTATTTTTTGAGAGTATGATGTTTATTTTAGTATATTATTAAGGTGAAGAGAAGCAAAATTTTATTGGAACACTTTTTCACTCATAAGTACATACAAAGGTCTGATAAAAAGTATGGTGACTATTTAAATTTTATAAATTATTGTAGCATAAGACACATTACTATTAATTCTGTCAAAATACTATGCTTTTGAGTATACCTGTCTTATCATTCTTATCATTTTTTGAAGCAGTTCTGAAGTCTATTTTGTTTTCTTCGTTGTACTATTGTACCTCTCGATGTCAATAGATTCAGAATGTTTACTTTTCAAGGTCATTTTGACTTTGGGGAAAAGGCAAAAGTCATACAGTGACAATGTGGAGAATAAGGTGGGTGAATCCACACTATCACTTTTTTCTTTTTTTTTTAATGTGAGATGGTAATGTGCCCACATTGTGACAGGGTTTGAGGAAGGTACATACCGTGCATACAGCATGAACATCCAATCATCACTCTCAGGAACTGAAGGATCTATAATGTTTTTATAACATTTTGAATGGATTCAAGGTATTAATGCAACCATGACAGCACAACTGCAGTCACTCACAAAAGACTTTCAGAACTGCTTGAGAAAGTAGCAAAGTTGACAGGAATCAGCATATTCAGAGTGAGGTGGAACATTAGATGTGGTTAAGGGCAATGTGTCTTTGGTTGGAATAAGTTTGCAAAAACTAAATATTCACCATAGATTTGTCATCAACCCTTGTAATTATAAATGTTCAAATTAGGATAAGGAAGATGTGAAGTATGTAAATAAAATGTTTAAATTATGTATGTGTAAAATAATACCACGTGCTGCATTAAAATATTTTAAAGGTAGAAAAAGTGAATTTCACACACTTGTTATACACTTAAGAGATCCAATAAATAACTCCAAAAGAGTCTATTTCAGTTACAATTCAGAACTATATTTTCCACAGACATGAGCAGCCTTAGGTATGTGCTTCCAGACTTACACTTTTTATCAAATAAGGGAGATGAGATCTCAAAATTTTACAGATTTATTTTCTTTGCCCATATTTACCTAATGAATATATAAATTTTATTTCAATTTGTGTTTTTTTATTTTTGAGAAAAAAAAGGGGCCTGCCCATTAGCTCAGTTGTTTAAATGCCAGCTTAAACAAAGCAGTCAGGCTCAGGATGCTCTGGTTCGATCCCTCAATCCTCAAGCCAAACCAGACCTGCCCTGAAGGTATCCTGAGGCTGCCAAGAGAGAGAGAGAGAGAGAGAGAGAGAGAGAGAGAGAGAGAGAGAGAAAGAGAAAGAGAAAGAGAGATCATCCAGTCAAATGCTGAAAAGAGTAAAATGATTTGAGCTTAAACAAGATATTTATCTTTTTTGTGAAACCCTTATGAATAAATGGAGTAATATGCTGTAAAATAAGGAAAAATTTAGGCAGAGTATTGAATGCTAGATCTGAAGGAGTCCTCAAAGTGCTGAGGCAGTGAGTCCACATGGGATCTCCAACAAGGCTGCACCACCGATGTTTTGCTACCAAGGATGGCCCTTTAAAATGCCTATATCTCAGCATGTGACTTTCAGGCTGAATAGCTAGATGAGAGCATTGGCTACTGCACTGGGCAGCATAGGCTGAGATAGGAGAACTTGGTCAGGCAAGTCAGATCTGGCAAGTAGGAGATGGTAGTTGAAGGACATTTCATACATGGTGTGCATTTGAGGGATCATTTAACTGAACCAAACACAATTTTTTTTTGAGACAAGGTCTCTCTATGTAGCTCAGGCTGTCCTTGAACTCACTGTGTAGCCCAAGTATGCCTCTAATTTATGATAATCTTCTCACTTTAGTCTCAGTGCTGGGATTGTAGGTATATGCCACTACAACTCACTTCAACTGAGCAAAATTTAAATACCAATAAATTACATAGAAAGTATTGTATATATGGAAGGTAAAAAGTATAGCTGTCCATTCACTTATAGAATGTATCATTCATTAGAGAAATCAACTAGAACACAAATATATAAATCATTTAAGGTTGGTATTGCAATACCAAGTCCCTTTTGTGGGGATCCATGAGGAGAAGTGAACTCCAAGCCAAGGAAGTGAGGAGGCTTTGTGAAAGAGCTGGGCATTGAAGAGTTGTAGTCATATGTAGAGAGACTGAGCATAGCATTTGGCTGAAAACAGGTGCCGAGTGAGAAAAGGAGAAGAGAAAACTGAAGGGGCTTTCAGCTCTGCAGGTCCCTGCTACTTCATAACAGCCATCATCTTTTTTTCCATCTTTCCCCACAAATAAACCATCTTTTGTTAGAGTAGAAACAAAGAACACAGAAAGGAATGGATATATACCAGGTATATGTACTAGAGGAGTGTTATTTGGATGCAGATGGCAGAAAAGGTAATACCACACACAGACTTTGGCTTCTTGTTCTTCAGACAGTTGAATGAGTGTTGGAACCTGTTATATCAGACCTGTGCTTTTGTGGGAGCACTATGGAAGGCAGGGAGCTACTATTAGTGATGTAATCTTGAAGTAGAAACCCTGACAGCAGGCAAAGCTTACTAGCAAGGAGGCTAAAAGAGAGACCAGGTTGGCATCTTTTGCCAATAATTCACATTTGTTTAACTCTGACAGGCAGATAATGTCTAGGCACTACGTAGCATCAGAGGCTGAAGTAGAGGCTGCAAACATATGCAGGCATATTTGTTTTTATTTATTTAATGTATTTAGGACAGGGTCTACAGGGCCTCACTATTTAGATTGGTCTCATAGTGTTTTTCCTGTTTTCAGGCTCCCAAGTGCTCGGATTACAGGTGCGTGCTACCATGCCCAGTCTCAATTGCCATCTCAGCTCACCCCAGGGGTGGGGCCAGCACAGCATGTAGAGCTGGGGAACAAACCCTGGTCCCTGCCAAAGCAGGCACTTTTATCCACTGAGCTATGTGGCTGGCCATGCAGGCATATTTGGATCAATAACATAAATCATTTCCGAATAATGAGAGCTCCTGTAAATGGAACTTAAAAGCTGTAAAATAGTAAGCCCTTAAGCACTTAAGTATTTTGTTGTACTGTTACAGAAAAAGATGTAGTTGATTTCTAAATTTGGAGATGTTAAGGTTTGTTCAAAACAGAGAAAAAAGGACTTAAAGTTGTTTTTTACTAAATTTTATCAAGAATATTAAACACCCTCCCCCACTCTGCCTAAATTCTGCCATCTACTATCATTATTTATGACAAGAAAGGCTTTCTCAATATTCCTTGCTAACCAGACAATAAAAGCACAATTTTTAAAATGTTTTATTAATTTTAATGAGAAAGAAATAGCAGAGATAGTTTCAAAACAGGTTAGTAGGATAATTACAATAATTAATACATTGTATATTGTCTTCATAGTAGTTATTCACAGTTCAAAATGTAGGTGTGATCTCTTGTCTAAATAATCCTAGTACAAATCTTTCTTCTCATTGAACTAAGAGAAAGTAGCTGTATATCTATCCTATTTTGTATATATATACTTTTTTTTCACTAAAAAATGGTCCTTCATTGATATCCCCCTTTTTTTTGGTCTTGTTTTGTCAGAGATGGATGTTCTATTGCTGTTAGAGAAACTGTATTTGGAGACGTGTTTAAAGGACCTTTTCATACCTGATGCCAGTTCAAATATTGTAGGTATTTGAATTGAGCAAAATATCCCAATATAGTCCAATAGTCTATAATAGTAATGGGTTATCAGCAGAACAGGCAATTTTCAGAAGTTGTTGAGAACATAATTTTGAAATAAACATAGCTCATTTCTGAGAGAAAAGATAGAGGTCAAAGTGACTTTGCCCCATACCACCCCCCACCTGCCCTGTGATCTGTGAATCTTTGAGAACTTCTGTCTCTCACTTCTTCTCTGCAGTGTGACCAATACTAATAAGTACTGATATTTAAATTGTAATAATAATTCACATTTTTTAACTGTGACAGACAGATAATGTCTAGAAACTAAGGTAATTCTTATATCTTAAATTTATATTGGGAAAATCATCACTGTAGAAACAGTACATCACCTAAACCTCCAGGAACTTGACAGAAAGAACAGGTTCAGAAATGAGCTGGTGGTCCAGGAATAGTATGCTGTAATAGTACAACAAACATCATTTACCTAGCCTCCAGAAATAGTAAAAAGAGAAATATGAGCCAGAAATAGTTGTCATAAAGGGCAAAACTTTCCATTTCTTTACTATCATAAACATGAAGCTTCATTGATGCATATTTTATCATAGGACTCTTGCCATACGTGATCTGAAGTTTCTGAGCATATCCCCAGGGACCATGATTACTGATACAGATAATCAAGCATTCCTTTTATGCTCCTCTCAACACTGCCACTGTTCAGATTGAAATTAGCATCTTTTACAATGAAATATCAGTTACTGTCACAAACTGACATGACAGCTGGAAAGAGGGGCCTGTTTATCTAGTTATTCTTCATGTCTCGGGTTCATTATGGTTTATTAAGATATGTACTGTTAGTTCCTGAATGGAGAGGCATTGAATTTTTACACAGTGATTATCATTTGAATAGAGACATCCAGAAGCCCTTGTCTGATGAGGAGCAGGAGTGATGAAGGTCAAGGATCAGAGATGTCATTCTATTAAGCATATTCCTTAAATTTGGACATTTATTCTATCTAAACATGTCTCCTAACATGGCTTTTACACACTCTCAAAGTTTGAAATATTACTTCCCATTGCAGAACAGTGGTGAGAAACTTGACAGTTGTGACTCTGTGTGACTGGGTGACTACCACGTGACTGACCTAAGCTACATGTCTGTACAGGTTACTTCATGACTGTCTCAGTTACTTTTCACACATTGCTGGGACAAAATACCCAACACCCAAAATTAAGGAAAGAAAGGTTTTTTCAGCTCACAGTGAGAGGAGGTTTTAGTCTATATTGGGCTGGCTCCAAGGCAGAGTGGCTCATTGCAGAGAGCAGCAGTTCATGACAGCAGAAAACAGCAAAGAGCAGGAGGAGGAGCAGCAGCTGTAGCAGCTAGCAAGCCTCTCTCCCTGCCTTTTATATCCTTTAAGTGATGAGTCACTCTAGGGTTGGGCCTCCACACAATAGTGTGTGAATTGCTGAGCTGATTTAGTTAAGCTTTTAACTTCTCAAGTTGACAGTGTATCAACCACTAACAACATCAATCTTGTGACATAGGTAGTAGACTCATGTTTCAAAAAGATGTTACTTGGCTAAAGGCACATAGTTTGTACATGGATTTAGACATTCCAAAGGTGCTGCTTTTTAAATACCACCATATCCTATTATCTTCTGAAAACATTTGTAGCCACCATTTATTGTGTGTTTCCAATGTGCTAGCAATGGTACCACATGCCTTCTATAGATAATCGAATATAAGACTTTTAGTATTAGCATTATTATGCTTATTTTTCAAATGGTCAGACTTGTTCAGAAATTTAAGCATAGTAGCATAATTTAAAACCCATCAGAATCCAAC